GAGTAAAGGCCAGGCATGAAGCTGGGTCATTGTATGGGTCTAGTGTAAGGGTGAGGCAGTCTGGTGGTGGCATATAGTTTTCTGGGAAAAAGCACCTTCCAGATGAAAGAGAGGAGCTATGGGGACGTCCTAAGAGGGCTAGAGAATAGATGACCACAAAGACAAAGATGGTTGGGCAGTGCAGGATCTGCAGGAGGGAGATGGTAGCAGATTGCCTCCTGGTGGGATGCTTTCAAATTTACCCCTTTTGCATTACCAGAGACATAGGGTCCTCCCTGTTTCTAGCCCTGAATGCCCGCATCTATAGGAGACACATTAGGATGGCTGGGCAGCTTGTGAGGTTTCTGAGCCACAGTCCTAGCAGTCAAGGGAGACAAATCAAATGAGCAGCTGAAACCCAGGAATCTGTCCCAAGTCAGGCCCTACATCCTAATGGGATTAGGACTAGAAATTGGGGTCTAAAACTTGAGATTGCTGGTACGATACCCTCTTTTCTCTGGTGCCTCTGCATTGTTGTATCACAGGACCTTGACTGGAAAGTGCAGCACCCACCTGCTGATATTGAAGTAGCTTTGTGACCATATCGTACATGAGAAGAGAACCTTCTATGTGTTTGTGTTTGTATGGATCTGTGTATGCAGAGAACAGGTCGATTTCTTTTAACTTAAATAGGGCGAGTTAGAGTTAGAGTAGTACTAGCTCTCTGGTGCTCTGTTCGTCGACTCGCCATGTTATGTAGTGTAGATGTGTTCTGCTTTACCTGACCACTCCCCACTGCTGGACATTCTAGTGTTTTACAAACACTGCCACAGTAGACCCTCAGATGAGGGCTCTTTTTGACACTTCTCTAACCCAGCCAGTAGGACTGAATGTGTGTTGCTGTGTAGGGCTCTCCAGGATGTGAGGGGCCCTGGATCCCACTGGACTTGGAGCCAAGCAGCTAGGGTAAATGTGTGGTGGAGGGTAGAGTTCAGAGGTACATTAGAAGAGAGATAGTGCTGGTCCTTACTTATGGGATCAGTCAGGTTGGGAGGAACACAATTTGTTAAAATAATCTTTTTTTGGGGGGCGGAACCTGGGATTGAACTCAGGCCCTTGCACTTGCCAGGGAAGCACTTACTCTACTGAGCTGTCTCCCCAACCCCATAAAATCACAACTGTATATAATACTCTACTGCTGGAAGGAAACAAACCCATTTTAGGTTCCACTGAAGTTAAGTCTATCTTAGTGTCTTCACTGAATGCCCCACTCAGGCCCATTGGTGCTTCTCCTACCCCCACCCAGCCTCTGCTCTATGACCCCTTCCCTGATCCCACTGAGACACTGAGAAAGGAAGCGCTCTGGATTACCTTGTATGTTTGACCCGATGTGCTTCCTAGTGCCTTGAATCGGTGAGTCTGTGATGGATGTGATTGTGAAAATATTCCTACCTTGGAAAATAAGTAATGCACCCTCCCTCCCCATCTCATTTTGTCATTTTTTTTCTTTATTATATAGTTCAAGCTGCTCTTGAAACCACTGTGTAGTCCAGGCTGGCCTTAAACTTGGAGTGATCTTCCTGCCACAGCCTCCTGAGTGCTGGGATTATAGGCATGTGCACCACACTAGCACAAACATTCTTTTTTTTTTGCGGAACCAGGGATTTGAACTCAGACGTTTGCGCTTGCCAGGCAGGCGCTTATTCTACTGAGCCATCTCCCCAGCCCTTCACAAACACATTCTTAAGCCCTTCACTTCATGTAGACAGTCCTGGTCACTGTTGATTTCTAGATTCCAGCCCTGCCTCTGAAGATGAGCTGATTCTATAACCCCATGGACATGTCACTTTACTGTGGATGGACCATGCGACCCCCGTGGAAACTCCCCACCACACACACACTTTAATTTTTTATTTATTTGAGAGAGAGAGAGAGAGAGAGAGAGAGAGAGAGAGAGAGAGGGGTGTGTGTGTGTGGCCAGCTCAGCCCACCAGGGGGCGAGGCTGGCTGGCATGTGGTGCTGGGGGACCGAACCGTGGTCCCCGATGCTTTGCTAAGCTTGTTCCAAGTAGGTGCCCTAGACCACTGAGCCATCT